TACGATCTCACTGAAAAATGTATCCCAGCAAGACAAGAGGTAACAAATCGACCTCAAATGTTCCTGAAGATGCATCTGTCTACTGAATTGCAGAGTGCTTACTTTTCTAATTGTGGGAATCTGGTTTGGTTTGTGGCCCAGTTTCAGTCGGCAGCCTGCCACTGGAAGGACAAACTCCACCCAGCCACTCTGCCCCATCAGAAGCCTTGAAATGAGACCAGAATCCCCTCCACAGCTGACTGTCATTACTCTTGCAGTCCCCAATTAGCCCGATCGCAAAAATTGGGGGTCATTAGAATCTGAAGCCGCCAGTTGAACCGCTGATCAAATTAGCTGAACGGCTTTGAGCATAAATCATGCGCCGGCTACCACACATGATGAGTGGAGGAGGTGGTTCAAAGCAGTTAACCCAAAAACATATGGAGGTGCTTAGGAATCTGTGACAGTTATCATATTTCCTAGTGTTTCTGATCAGCTGGCATGGACGTGTAGCCTACACCTGCACACACACACAAATCCCCTCATTCCTTTTCCGCTGTTCTTTCTCTCTCACTCATGCACAATCATCACTGAATCACAAGCACTCCATCAAGCAGAAAGCCAGTGTACTCATCAAGCCACAGAAGAGTTCCAGATGGGGGCATTATCAGGACTATTTGTTCATCTAAACACCCTAAAAGACCTGGGAGAGAAGGGAAAACACTTTTGTTGAAAATAAGGAATAAACAAGTGAAGGGAATAGATCCCAGGTGCTTCACTAAACAAGAGCAAACAGCGCTCAGAGCTCCTGGTTATTTGGCCCAGCGCGGCGTCCGGTTTCATCCTCTTCATGATTTGCGTTGACATGCCCGACAAAGGTGGAAATTCTTGGATGCACATGTGGGTGTCAGTCCCACACTCTCAAAACAAATAGACTGGGTCAGTATGGTGAAATTCTTTGTGGGGTCAGTGCGGTGTCAGCGCTGGTTACGTAAGCGAGGCTGAAGGCTCTCAGTGAGATATGTATCTGAAGATTTCATTCAAACAAACGGCAGATTTTAGTTTTCTACTGACTTTGAGTTGCTCTGGCTGCTGAAATTGACATTGGTCAACTTCCATGTGGGGTGCTGGCTAGAAACAGGATTTTAGCGTTATTTGTTTATTGCCAAGAGGTGGTCAGATGTATAACTGGCCATTTTTTTTAGCCTCGCTAGTGGCGAGGCTTTATGGATCACTGTGTGTTGGTCGGCCCAGAACTTTGGTCAAGACTGAAATATCCCAACAATTATTGTACATTTTTTACACATTTGTGGTCTCTAGAGAATGAACTTTGGTGATTTTCCTTCCAGTGACACTATCAGGTCAATGATGGTAGATTCTCAATGATGTGAGAATGTCAGTTAGCATACTTGCTAATTAGTTTTTGTTAGCCACTTTAAGCAAGTTTCTCACGGATGTACTAGTCTCCATTTGACAAAGTAGTTCTTTTATCACCTTATTAGACACCAGAAACCTGGGGGAAACAATATGACAACAATGTATTCAGACATCTGTTGTTTTATGAAGTGCTGCAGGAATGAATTACAACACCCAGAAATGAGCTAGCATTTTAGCATCTCCGGTTCCTTCTCCTCGTAAAGAATGCTGATATGAGATATGAAACGTAACCTGTTAACTGCTGCCAATCAAATGGTGAATAATCTGGGTTCATATATTTGTAAATCTGATTCTGATGAAGTCAGTGCCTCACCCAGCCATGAACCTCACCGCATGTCACTGCTTTACAGCCACATTGTGTTTAAACTCAAACTTATATTTTAGTTACACAATTTAATTACAAGTCTGAAGTTTCATGGTGGTGACGTTGAAGTCCTGCAACTGTGGTGTTGTTCGTTTATAGACTATGTTTTAAGCCTTTTGCTTCTGACGAACGCTTCAAAAATCATCAAAGTGTTCATTTGTGAAGATTATCTTGCTTAACAAAACGTGCAAGTATCATAAACCTTTGTTCGCCACAGGGCTTATTTTCTGCAATTTCTCCATTGGCTCTTTGTTGAAAGAACCAGGCCACCAAAATACGTCATTCCTTGAAGAACAGCCAACCAGCAGGCCTATGCTTCTTTTCACTTAATAGCAAAAGCACGAGGCTTTACAATCCCATTTTCCTTTGCTTTTTGTGACTCATGGTGCAACTCAATAATCATTTAGTATGCCCTCTTTTACTTCTCCTCAGCGCTTGGTTACTCTTACCTCCGTACATCATCATAAGTTGCAGAGCAATGGTCTGAGAGCAGATGATTGAAAATCAAACTCACCCTCAAGCAGGGCAAATAATTTAGAATTTTCAATGATGGTAAAATAAGTGCAGAAAAGTCAAGAATAAAGTTGTAGATAGATGAAACATTTAAATTGGTTTTGTTTACTTACATTTAGCCTATAAATGACCTAATTTTATGTTCCACTGTCATGTAGGAAGGAAATGATGAAGTGTAGCCCTGCACAGTCAGCCACTGAAGGGCTGATAAGGGAGCGTTAAAGTGTGTTGATTAAAGAGCCACTCCACTAATTTCACACATCAAGATCAGTTCACTTGTCATGAGGAATATTATTGAGCCTGCGACTGGACAAGAAGAAATAAGTATTTCAGGGTTATCTCAGCTTGAACCATCGTCATCTGCACTTCCTCCCACTGTACAAAAATTAAGCTGGTGCCATCTTGCGCTGGTGATGTCATTTGGAGCCAGGTCAGTAGTAATTGGGGGTTGCCGCCGTGGTATCAAATCTCTGCATGTACGCCTAGCCAACTCAATCATGTCGTTAAACCCTGTTTTTATCGCTACAAATAACTAATTTGGCCCATGTCCCATCTAACATGGAGGCAACAGGCTTTATAATGGTAAATGGTAAATGGACCTGTACTTGTATAGCGCTTTTCTAGTCCTTCCGACACTCAAGCGTTTTACACTACATGGCACATTCACCCTTTTAACACACATTAACTACAGTGTGCAAAGGAACAGAAACTAACTAATTCATACACATTCACACACCGATGCACAGCAATTCGGGGTTCAAGGATACTTCCAAATGTGGCACCCGGAGCTGGGAACGAGCCAACAACCTTCTGATTAGGGGACGACCCACTCTGCCTCTGAGCCACAGCTGCCCGTAATCTATACTGCAGCCAGCCACAAGCGGGCGATCTTGAACTTTTGGTTTCACTTTTGAGAAGATGTCATGTCATTACGTCATCTTGATATATGCTGATGGCTTGAACTTGCAACAATATACTATGAATTATATTACAAAAGGTCTGCGTTACAAAGTCGGGGTGTGGGGTTTGAAAGAAGTGGGTGTTTACGAGGAAGGAAATAAGCTGTTGAGTTGAATTGTGGGAAATGAGAGCGGAACTTAAAGTCAGGATAATCGCTGCCTCTACTGCTTCGATTTTGACTATTCTTCTTTTAGATTATTTCTTCCTCCAGAGACTGTCATAGTCATGGAACAAACCTCACTGGACCCAGCAGGATCCATATATAACATATATACAGTAACCTATTTCTTTTGTGTTTGTGCCATCCCCAACATTAAAGTCCCTCTGCTCAGAAATCTTTTTTTTCTTGTTCCTACAGTTGAATGTTTGGTCTTTACTGTGCAGAATGCTAGCAAGAAAATAGCCTTTGATTAAATAAGTTTCCTATAGGTTATTAATAATTGGCTCACTGGTTGATGTGAAATTGAGGCTCTTGCTGTTTTTGGGTTGTTTTAAGCCCACGTAGCCCAATTCATCCCATATGGATCGGCTAGGCTGTTTGGGAGCGACAATTTTTATTTGCTGAACCATAAATGAACTGCAGCAGACTTTGCTTAATATTCCTAACTGTCTTAAATACTGTCATTATATAGAACTTGTAATTTTGCCTTTGATTATCTCAGACCACCACATTGGTTAATTAATATCAGCATTTGCAGCATGTGTTGACACACTTTGTCAATCTCTGCTTGTAATTACCACCAGGAGGCTGACATGAACGACTTCTCCCAGTTGACAGGTGATATTTATGCTAAATCACACACACAACGCGAATGCAGGATTAGACTCCAGTCTGCCAGCAAATCGTTAACAGGAACTGATTTATGCTCATTCAACCTGAGAGGAGAGCTTAACAGTCAGCTCAGCTGTTGTCTGTTTGCTAGAACTGAACCTGCAGACTCTCAATAGAGCCCCAAATAAAGATATCTCTGTTCCTGTTAGGTAACCTGGGTTTGGAGCAGCCTGTAACAGCGTCATGTCAAGAATGTCATCGTCTGCGGGGACTGATCTCTGATTCCTTTTGCCTTTTCAGGGCTTAATGAATGAGGCGGTCAAGGGAAAGCAGCAACTTATCCCAGATCTGTGCTCGCACTTTAATCTTGATGAATCGGAGCCAAGCGGGAGCCGCTCAGCCGAGAGCAGCGATGTGCCAGGTTGCCTTTCAAAGCAATCATCATAAGGCCCCTTCTCAGTGACAGCACAGCCCCTGGCCCGAGCTCACCTCCCGCCATTCGTTTTGTATTCAGCACACTATCTTCCATTGCTGTGTCACAACATTATGGGAGGAATGACTATGAAAATTACATGCACCATGTGCCCAGTGGATAAGGATCACACAGCATACTGTTGACTGCAGTCAGACATCTATTAATCTGTGTTCCTGCTTCTCTGATTTGGTGCCATAATGGAGACTGTTCTGATAGAAGAGCCACAGTGCCCCCTGGTGGAAGAATTAACATATACATAAGTTAGGAGTCTGTGTGTAGGTGTGTAGGTGTGTTGGGGGGGGTTACAAAAAGAAAAAAGAAATGTCTCATCCTTCAATGTCAACATGGATACATTTCAGAATGTTTAGTTGAGCATTGACAATTTGAAGACCTTGAATCATTAACTCTCTCTGTTAAGTTGTATTACCTGGCCTGTATAGAGAAATTCTGACCTGCTGGGCACTGACTAAGAGACTCTCTAATGTTTCAACATCTTCTTCTTCCATGTATTACAGTATTTATTACTGCAAAGCACAAACAGACCACAAATATTACAGTTTATGGGAAGACACCACAGTTGAAAATTTAACATTGGAACATTGTCAGGTTAAAAATTCTTATTTCATTTTGTTGACATATTAGAGTCAAATGTTTTTACAGAGGGAATTTTAGATATCTATTTTTATCACTCCATAAATCAGAAAATACTGTCAACAGCTGTAAAAAAATAAATCAATTCTCATCATGTTTTTAGGAATAAAATGTGATATAAATCAGGCTATGAATGATATGAACAAATCCCTCTGTAGGGGTAAACCTTCAGAATATAGATATCAATAACACTAGAAGGTTTGGTGTATGTAAGTGCTACTGTACTGGAGATGTATGGCCCAGAGTATGTGAAAAAAACGAATTTTGAGAAAAACTTTAAAGATATGTATTGTAAAATACACAACAGGTGAATAGGCTACAATTTTTAACTAATAGATATCATCATGAAACTTCCCCAGCTGATTACTTACACTAAGACAAATATGTTTTGTATTACAAGTTAGCTTAAATGTTATGTTTAAATATGCAAATGAGGCATTATGTAACTTTTGGTAAAATCTACAGATGCAAACAGACTCGGTGTAGTAAAATAAACACCTAAATGTGTATTTGAGCTAAAGTGTAGGGAAGAAAAATAAGCAATGTAACAAGGAGTTTGATGTGCCAGTGCTTGAAACAGACCTATGCTAGGTTTGGTCCAGATGGAGACTTAGAGGGTGGGGAGCAGAGGATATAATGTTTCTGTGCAATATTGATTCTTTGTTTGATTGAAGATGATTGTTTGCTACTGTTGCAGCAGCTAATCAAAATATCAAGATATTGCATCAACTGAAGCGACTGTTAGTTTGGTAATAATAGAATAACATAGAGTGTTATCAGACTGTAAACAACATAAGTGGATGGTAAGAAATTCTGAAGTCAAAGTAAAGAAAAGACAAGTATTTCTTTGGAGTACATTAAATATGTATGTTTGAACACTACTACATATAAAGGTGGTTCATGCCTTGGAGTTTAAGTGATTCTTCGATATAGACTTGAAGGATAGGTTGGGGGATATTCTATCTTTTCTTTTTGATGTGCACAGCCAAAACAAGGATGAATGTACCTACTCAAACTACCAAGTTAAACCCGGATATAGAGTTAAATAGACCTTTTTCACTGCAGCCATTTGAAATAGTAGGGTAAACACAGGCGGTATTAATGATACTAATTAAGGTTCTGTTTCATTTAGGTCAAACATAGTCTGGTTTTGTTTGCATTTCATTTTGGCTCACTAAGAAGGCTCTGCTACACTAAATGGAATGTAACCTTAATTATGTTTACCCTACTATTTCATGTTAAAATTATTTTAACTTTTTATTCCACTTGACAAAAAGAAAACCACAGTAGTGGTTTCTAGTATTTCAACTGAAAGTTGTTTATTGACAATGGCACAAAATATCAAATATTAAAGTGTAGATTTTATCATCTTTCAAAGGATTTGGTGATATAGATTTTTGTTTGTAGAAAAATGAAACAATCTTGGTAAAGTTAGTTCAGTGTATGTGTTTGTTTCCCTCTTCAGGTCAGTCTCAGTGTGGGTGGGAGTGGTATGTCTCACTCTTAGCTGTATCATCGTGATGCTACTACTAGGTGTCAGAAGTCCTAAACATAGGGACTTTAAAGACAAAAAACACATATCAGTCAAATCCTGACATCACAGCATAGAAAAGCAGTCACTGTTGTGTTCAGACTAAACTCTACCAAACAGGAAACTAAAAAAGGACACAGGTCAGTTTGGGTTATACAGCTGCTCATGTGTGTGATTTGTTAATCCAGGAAGCGGTCCAGCATCCTCTGGATGTTTTGGAAGGCATCTCTGCCCAAGTAGTCAATCTGCCCGACCTCCCACTGCCTGCGATGCTCCAGCCGCTCTGCTTCCATGTCTGCTGCCGTCTGCCATGATGAAGTGGAAGAATAACAAATCAGTCTTCAAAGGGAATTTATCACAAGGAGCATCAGATTCTCTATTCAGGCGGAATTTTGGGTTCTAGTTTCAAGCTCTTGGAATGTGCAGTTGAGCATATAAATTTTCAGAATTGGTAGATTGTCATTATTCTTTCATGCTCATTTTATGAAGACTTTCAACTAACCTGGGTCTCATTATAACCTCATACATTCCAGTATCATCTCTAATCTGTGTTGAGTTTCAAAACACTGAGCTTGGAATAAAGATACCATATTCAAATAAGGCACCTTTAAGTGTTTATTATTAATATTATTATTATTATTATTATTTTAAATTAAAGGTGCTTCTAAGCAATATTTTTTTTTGTTAAAATAAGTGGTAAATAGCTTTACATTCCAGAAGCCACTGATATAGTGTTCAGTCAGTAACATGTGTCACCCAGTCCCTCCTTTCTGCAGTAAACAGAAAATACATTTTCTGCTATCCCGTTACAACGTTGTCCAATCAGGAGACAGAACTCCACAAAGAGGCGGCCCTTGGAATTTGTAATTTTAAGATAACTCTGGTATTGTCCCTCCCAACTCACTGCTGATGTTTCGAAGTACAGTACAGCTGTGGAGTTGGAGCTACAGAAGAGAGTTAGAGTCAGCATGAACGATCACATCTGTCAGTGCTGTCAGTGGAGGAACTTATTTGAGGCCTGTTTATGTGTACAAAAATAACATGTAAAAAGAGCAATGCACACCTCAAAACAGACCTCATGCTATGAGAAATATAGTTGTGTTTAGCATATGCTCAATGTATAAAATATACATAAATATAAATTGTTATAAATTAAACTACTCAGTATATAAAGCTATTAAAATATTCACCTTGACATTAAAATGCTGCATCATTGTTAACAAATCACTCTAAATTGGGGCCATTTTATTTTTAATAGGGTATTTTTACATTGCTGTACTGTTACTTTTAGCTTTCAAATTCACAGACAAGTTTTAAAATCTCAATATTGAGCGATTGGAATTATGGAGAGTGTATCCTTAAACCACTGGCTCTTATATTTTAACCAGTATTGTAATCAGGTAGGTATAGCAGTCAAATGTTTAACATACAGGATGTGTTTCCGTGTCCGTGGCACCCTCGCTGCCCTTGCTGCCCTCACTGCCCTTGCTGCCCTCGCCGCCCTCTGCTCCAAACAGTGGGTCCTGGATCTCGGTGCTCTCAGATGATCTTGACTGTACCTCCAACGGTGTGTTATCTGTGAGGGAACTCTGCAGACACCACAGTCATGTCACTCACAAATGCGCTACAAAATATGCTAACGTGAGCACATGATGTGAGGCTAAAAGTGTGAAATCATACAGTGGCAGAGCAGAAATACGACTTGGTTCTGCTTCACTCTCACTGTGGATTGCTTGATAAACACTGCTGATGTATGTTCATGGGTGTTGTCACACTGGAGGGTGTGTGTCTGTTCAGGCTAATCTTACAAGCTTGTATAAACACAGTACATCAAGTTGAAAATGAATGAAACAAATGACAGAAATGCAATGAGACGCTCAGAGGCCTGTGGCAGATAATAGGCTCTGTTGTTCTTTTTTCTGCCGGAGTCAAATGCAGTCAAGCAGAAATACTCATAAATTAACAGTCTCATCTCCTGGAACTAACAAGAGGCACTTGAGCTGCCTAATAACCCACCATAATAATCACAATGATATATCATAAACACAAGCTGCTATGCTAATAAGGCCATTCATTAAGCTAACTAATGGATTGATTAGCAAATATCTCTAATGACTACAACTTCACATAATATGTGTGACTTTAAATAAACTTTGTGTATAAAGGTTTTTTTTTAAGGGTTTTTCTTCTTTGTTGATGGAGCTAGCAGTTTCCCCCTGCTTCAAGTGTTTGTGCTAAGCTAGGCTAACATGTCCCCAGTCCGATTTCTGTCCCGGATTCACAGACCTGAAACTGATGTCAATTTTGTCACCACAGTGTGGATTTGATGACAAATAAAGCTAATAGAGTCAGAGACATGTCAGTGAAACATCCTGTAAAAGGGCTAAATAGATAAAAAAAATTTAAATCACCGGAGTGACCATAACAGCGTAATATCTGACAGTGTCACAAAAAAAGAGGTGATAAATATTTTGATGTCTCAGCTTACCGTCTTTGGTTCAGATGGTGAATGAGGCCTCTCAGAAGGAGGTGAAAAATGTGCGAGCAGTGAATTGGAGCTGTCCAAGGTTTCCCTAAATGACATCTTGGCTTCCTGTTCTTGGATCTGCAAAACAAGGGAGAATATTGAGTGTTGGAATGACAGCCAATGCCAGGGCTGGGCAGCCATGTGTCGTGTTTGGCTGCCGGTCCGCATGTTTATGTCACAGCCAAACTCTGCAGCAGCTTATGTGACTGATTAACAAACCTTCAACTAAAGAGGGGGAAGTCATCAGTGAAATGTGCCGCTTGAGTGTTTGGAGTGAAAATCTGCAGAGCGTCCACCAAACATGGCATATGGTTGACTTCCTGCACAGCAAGTGGCACTGCTGAACAGTGCATTTAAAATCTGAACCTTATATAAATTATATACAATCCCAGACAAACATATACCTATAGACGTTTTTAACTGTGAAAGTAATGGTGAAATTTTATTTCATGGGTCTCATATTACTCTACATCTACAGTATACTCAAGCGTTTTTTTCTCATATTAAGCTCCAATGCCAGTTGTGTAGCAGCTAAGTTGTGCACAAGAATGTTGCTTTGACAGATATAAACAATTAGCAACAACACTAGTCATTATTCATGATGTTGTAGCTTTTCTTAACTTGTGTGAGTAATTTTGTTAATTCATGTCACATTAGCTCATAGATAAAACATAAATCCAAACTGAGCAAAGTGCAGTACTTGAATCAGATGCCTTTTATTTTATTCATAAACTTTCATTCCCTGACTGGTATAACATGTTAACAGCGTGGTTGTATTAAAGTGGGTCTGACCACTAAGCCGACTCTTTGAAGTGGTTCATTTTCAGGCAAGATATGACTAATCAGACAGATAAAGATTTCAGATCACACAGATGTTCGTACCTGTTCTGGTTTCTCTCGGTCTTGGCTGAGCTGTTCCCCTGGTTGAAAGGATTTTGAGTGACTGAGGTATTCCTTCCACCATAGAGATACAAAGTGTTCCATGGTGTGTGAGCTGCCGTCGTCCGCCTTGCTGCTGGAACTCCAGGGTTTCGCTGGTCCTAAGAAATGGACGATCTTTGCATTGTGGCCGAATCTGCAGGGACACAACTGCAGTGTATCAATTAAGTTGCTAGAGGATGGCACTAACACAGGTAAGGTTCCAAACCACAACTGTCAGTGTATACAAACTTTATTATAGGACAGGGTTCCTCAGATTTTACATGACCCAGATCCTGTTTTTATGGTAAAAGTGTTGTCAATTTTGTTCTCCAAAACTAATTTATGCTACAATACGATATGTGACGATACGATACGATACGTTACAATACGATACGTTACAATATGATATGTTACAATACGATACGTGATGATGCGATACCTTACAATGCGATGTTATGGTACGTGAGGATACGTGAGGATACGTTATACATGACAATACGTTACGATACATAATACGATACGATACACACAGCTGCCTCCATGTAATAATAATTGAAAACAAACAACATTAACAACTTAGCCAATACTGTTCCAAATCACAACCTTAATTCAATTTAGTTTCCATAAAAATATGTCAAAGAAACATCCGTCTTAAGGTGTGTCTCAACCAAACATTCAGCAAATTTTAGACACAGCACTATAACACACAAAGTCAATAAAGAAAGATTTAAGTGGATGCAAATAAACTCAAATTTACTTTAAGCAGAACAAATTGAAGTGAAGTATTTAGGTGAGTACAGTGTTATTGTTACTGAGAGAAAAGCCAAAATTATCTGTTAATCTACTGATGAAGTAAACAGAGTAACAACCTTTAATCATGGCTAATGCAAACATTCTGCAAGAAAAATCTATGTGAGCTTGAAAATGTGGTTAACACTAATCCACAAACACAAAAGTGTGTAAACAGAGTACCAAGTGTAATGGGACAGAGCTAGCGGCGGTGCACACACACTCACTGCTGGAAAGCAGGGAGGTAGCTGTAGACGGAGCTGGCACTGAGGTTGTAGACAAATGGCAGGTGTTTACTGATGTCTTCCACTGGCCAGCTACTGAAGAAAGAGTTCAGCAGGCCCTGGTCCCCCCCTGATAGCAACCAATATGAGAATAAAAATTAGTGAAACATGCATAAGTAACTTCTATTCTCTTCTTAGGGGAACTGTTTGCTGTTTGCATGACCCTGAACTATGTTTAAGTCCAATAAGAAGCTGCAGTTAAACATTTGGATTCTCAATAATCAAAGTCTGTCAGTGACAGCTGCACTACATAATGATGGTCATAAATGATGGAAAACAACATTATAACAATGTCCAGGTTAAAGAAAGCAAACCTTAGCTTTTAATACATCTAATTTCTACGGATGGATTAATATAAAGTTGAAAGTGGGTTAAGAGTATATGTCTTCTTTAAACTCCTGTGTATTAACATGTATTTGTGTCCACCTGATGAATGTAAGTTCAGTTATTTACTTTCTTTTAGGTAGTGGGTTTTTCAGAGCTTTTTCACTGGAAGCAGCTGCCTGCTGCTGCTGTTGCTGCTGGAAACAAGGTTGCTGAGGGCACTGAGACTGAACCAAAACAGTGGGCTGTGATACCAAAACAATATCCTTTTGCATGTGTTGCTTTCGCAGCCTCTTTGGTTTGTTTAGGTAGCTGGTCTGCTCCGTGTGCAGCTGAGTGACTGAAACTGCTGTTTTTCTCATCTACGTTGGTGAACTAAGAATTTATTTCAACCAAACCTGTTGGTTATTGTTGGAACAGAGAAAAGGCTAACAAAGACCGATCATTTTGTTTTTATCCACTTTGAATGAAGTGATAGACGATAATATGGCTGTTTCTGGTTAAACAAAAGGTACCTCTGTAGGGATCAGGACAATCTGAGCCTGTCAGTGGTAAAAACAAGAACTTTTAGTGGACGTTCCATTTGTCCCCAAGGATTAACTTTAGCTTACTTGTTGTAGCCATTGCAATTCTTTTCTGTTAATCTGTTAATTAAGGATTTATTTTGACAAAAAGTCATCCAGTGGCAAGTGAATTCTTCTGAATCATCTTTCGTACAGTCTACTGCAAAAACCACATACTGACAGAGGCACAATTGAGAGCCTATGAATTAATAATTCTGTAATATTAGTATTCTTTCATGTGTTATGCATTGCCAAGATAAATGTCTGTACTGAACAATGGACCACTTTTATTCATTTTACCACAGAGAGAAACAGAATAATACGCAATGAACAAACACATCCCTCGCCTTTTTCTTTTAATTTCATATGAATGTATTCAGTCAGTGTTCAGAGCACACAGCGTTCTCTACTTGTTAGTCTCAACCCAGACATGTAGTCATGTATTACCGTCAAAGCTGCCATGCTGCAGGGCGTGATCTAGGATGCTGGCGTGGGTTTGGAGGGAGGGTCTAAAGACAAACACGCCGGAGTTGAAGCAGTCAGGCCAGCCAGGGTCGGGAGCCGCTGACAGCTCATCTCTCTCAAACAGCTCGTCCACGTTACACAGAACCTGAGAGGGAACCGTCAGAGGTCAAACAGGTTTGTCTGAAAGATGGGACTAACATTTTTAGGTTGTATCTGCCGAGAAACAAACTGACAGTTTATTATAGAGGGTCAGTTCACCCAACTTACAGAGAAACAAAACATGTTTTCTAACTTCCCTCTAGTGGTATCATGCAAATAGATTGGATATTTTTTTTCAGGTTTTCAGATTGGTCTCTGACATCTCTGCCTGTACCCCAGTGAAATGCACCTAAACTGCAATTCATTAAAAAAATCTAGTTTGTGCAGCTCAAAACACTGCAAGCAACTATTAAAAAAGAAATAAATTGGATGTGGTCTACGTGACATCACCCATAGGTTTCTGAAGAGCTGTTGTGAAGCTCAGTGTGGTCGGCTCTGTCCATAGCCATCTTGACGGCTGCCACCTAATCCAAAAAAGAGTGGTTGTGGCTCAGAGGAAGAGCGGGTCGTCCACTAATCGGAAGGTTGTTGGTTCGATCCCCGGCTCCTCCCGCCACATGTCGAAGTAACCT